TCACCTGAGAGCAGCTCGCGTCGAACCACCAACAAGGTGGTCCCATAACCCGGGCTGAGTGGGGCTGGGTGCCGGCCCTTAACTGGTGCAGAACCAATGAGAACTGAGACAGTGGCAAAGCACCAAAAAACATCTGGCTTCTTAGAAACATAGAGAGACTAGAGTTGTATGAACATGCATTTTAATATCCAGGCCACCGTTTTAAGATGCAGCTGAAAACTGCTAAACCATTCACCTTCGATCTCTGATCGCTTCAAACCAGCGGTTCCCAAAGTTGGGTTTATTAAAAGGACCAAGCAGGGATCCTTAGATAATCTCCACAGATTAATTCACAGTATCATTTCACCACATTCTTTTTTCAAAGGATAAAAATGGTCAGATATTAGTAAAAAGATGTATTTTTATTGTAAAGCTGTTTTTGTTGTCATTATGAGTTTAACAGGGTTTTGAGTAGAACTTGTTTATAAAACTGGCACTAGATGAGGTCACAAGCCTTTGTCAATATCATTTCAAGGTCAATCACCAAAATATTTGAGAACCATCGCTCCCAGTTGTCAAAGAAAACTAATTGAGTCAAACTGTTTAAACTTGGCAGAACGTTGACGTTAGTCAGCGTTGTGGCTGAGGTCAGAGGTCACGGTGTGCCCACGTGTTTCTGCAGGCCCCAACAAACATCAGTCGGCGGTGACTTGCCTGCAGTTCTGCAGAGGTCTGGTTCTGTCCAGCTCCGACGACGGGACGGTCAAACTGTGGGACCTGCGGACCGGAGCCTGGCTGCGGGACGTGGTGGCGCTGCAGAGTCGGGGATCAGGTCAGGACCTCACACCAACACCTGAACTGTTCGCAGCAAGAAATACTTTCATTAAATAAATAAACTCGACACATTTTCAGCTATTCAACTAAATGATTTTTATTGTTTCTTGTGTTGTTTAAAATAAAGATCAATACTAGACATTTATGTGTCTAAAGGTTAAAAGTTTTTTATGAGGTTGTTGATGCACAAAAAATCATCAGCATAGAAAGTGATACTGCAGTGGGCTCTGTACAGATACCTGAGGAACACCTTTTTAAGTCCAACATCCCAAGGAAGAGTGAGCAATCTTTATAGAGTGCACGCAACAAATTGTGTCTAAAATATGTCACAACTGTAGAGAATAAATATTAACAACAGTCTGATTCTAATTTACGGGCGTTCAGTTTTCCCAGGTTCTTCTAACGCATCACAGATTAATTCTCTTTCCCGCGTCAGACTCCATGTTGAATTTATTTTAAACCATTTATTTTATAAATCTGGTCCCTGGACCCGAAGTGTCAGGATCATCGGCGCCTCCTCATCCTGTCGACGTCACTCTCTGATTGGTCTTTGATTATTGTCGTCTTGATGTCATCAATAACATTTGATTGAGAAAAAGTGATTATCGATCAGAGGAGTTTCATCGCTCTTCCACACGAGCACGATTTTGTTTTGGTTTACCACTCGAACGCTCGCGCCTTCACTTCGTTCACCTCGAGTTGTGATCTGGTGAACCCTCGGCTGCTGTTGGATCACGTCAGGTATTGTAGTTTCATCCCAGTGGGAGTTCTTAGAATGAGCTTTGGTCCTGCATCAAACAACATTACAGTGACTAACGACAGATACGGGCGCACTTTATTACAATTTTAACTTTACGTCATATCGCCGAGAAATTAAATGAATGAGAAATTTAAAGTTTTTATAAAAAAAAAAAAAAAACTCCAGAAAACCTGAAGAACTTTTGCACAAGATTTTCCAAAGATCAGCAGAAACGCTGGAGGTTCTGCAGCAGCAGAAAGAAATTAAAGACGGCGTTCCTTAAAGCTGCGGTGCCCAAACTTTTCCATGCCATGCCCCCCC